TTGGCCTTCCTTCTTCGCTTAACGCTACTTAGATGAACAGTCCCTGTTGCCAGTTAGCAGACAACCAATGTCAGTTGGTACATTGCGCATGCTGCCTGCTTTTGCATGTATGCAGGCAGATCGGCTGCATGACATACACCAGCAAAGACGGTGCGCATCCCTAAGCGCCATGTTTTGTCCTTTACTACAATCACCGTTTCAATTAAGACGGTACGCTGTGTTCACTTGCACGCGCTACTGACCTGCCCCTGCCCTGAAACAGCAGTTGCTTTTCTGTGATTTGGCTTCATGCAACACCTCGCACATTAACGAACGCGTAACATCCCCGTCACTTCCGACGTCTTTTTGAGCGCAGTCTACTTCGTTTACGTTGTACATATGACCATTCAACTATGTAAATTTGGCTTCGTCTGACAACGAGTATTTTCATCAAGTATTAGTTAGGAGGGTTGAATTAACTGACAGGTGCAGTTGACCTACAAGTACGCATGAAAAAGCTTTCGCTCAGAAGGTTATTTAGATGTTTGCACTAACCGATAAGTGTGACTTTACAGATGTTGCCTGAACACGTTCACAGTGTGGAAATGCAATGCATAACGGGTTTCAACGTTGCATAGCGTACCAGAAATTGCTTAAAAAGAGTGGTTGCCGAGCGTACGTAAGGTTAAGATAAATTGTCATCAGGATAGTACATTTTTTAAGAAAACATTTTTCGCTGATGTATGACTCACTGAGAGAAAATAGATTGTAAGATACCCAACTGATACACATTTGCCTTTTTCTTCAACGATCAGCCTCTCATTACAGAGTTGTTCAGCGTGTCTGTAAGAATTTACACAATACAAATCAACCAATAAAGTCGGAGTATAAATTTCTACCAAAATTACTTACTCATCAGGGTTTTATATTTTCAGGAAAGTGAGCCCTAAAAATGGATAAAACACATGTTTTGAGCACATAATTTCACACCGATAAGCGTTAATGAAATAATTTTACTCATGAAAAATATTTTACAGTTCTGCTACAATCAGAGCATAGCATGAAGCTGTATAGTTGGTTTGCAAGCCCTTAACAAAAATGAGTGCTTTCATTTTATATGAAAATATATAAACTTAACTGTGAATGATTGGAATGAATTGATTCAATAAGTACAGTAGATAAAGTTGCGTTGACCAGAAACACGGTTTATAATCTTTCTCAAACAGAGCCCGAAATATGTGCCAAGCCCCGACCAGTATTTACGCAAGAAAGCGTTCCATTCATATTCACTACCCTCCTTCTAGGCACACCTAGGGTAAGCTAGAAACATGCAAGGAATTTTGCTACTTTTGACTTGTAATAAGCCCGTGCTTTTTATTCTTTAAGCGCGTATTTGTGGATCAAAATGAATTTACCGTAGATGATGATGAAGACAAATGCAAGGTGGAAAATTCAACTTAAATTTTTAAATGCAAGGTCGGGAGATTTAAGTGAATACGACAGTTTTCTGAGTCAAAGGTATCAAAGGGTTTTATACATGTAAATGGTATTTGACGTGCAAATATCAACAATAATGTGTTAGCGGCTTTATCATTGTTTAATTAAAGACACCCTTTAGACATTTATCTTTCTCCTGAAAAGTACTATTCATTTTTGTCTTCCCCACTTGTAGTTAATTAAGTTGATTTGATATATGCATAACTTACGAATGAAGCCTTTTTACAGTGCTTTTGATTTTTTTTGCGTTTTTTTCTTACAGTTGCTGAATTCTCGCGAATTACTATTTTCCTTGCGGATATCAAAACCATCAAGAGGATTTTAGTTGAGGCTCTAAATACCACTGCGCCATACAGAATCTATTGGATTGCAGTTGAGCAGGTCTCGTAAGCTTCATCGGAAACTGGCAAGTCTTAAGTGGGATAAGTATATGAGTGCCTTTATAGGATGACATCATTGCTTCAATGCTAACATTTACGACCTCAGATGATTATTCAGTTTCCATTATAATTCCCAATTTAGGAGTTTTTAAATAAGAACTCGAAGACAGTTCAACTAGTTGTACCAATGAGGAAAGTGTAGACATTTCTTGGCGCCTCAGAATACCATCATCCGGAATAAATCCTCGTCATGTACGTCAGTCTGATGATATGGTTTTCGCAAGATTTTTGTTTGTCCGTTGGATTTATAAGTACTTAGAGTTACGTTTGTAACTTCTCGAAGACATTTCTCACTTCATGAGCTATTTATATCTAATGCGTAGAAATTACCCTCGAAGCCTATTATCCCAAGGATAATTTCTGCCTGCAATTCTTTGTCCAGTTTGTGCTACTGGTATTCACCGCCTCATAAAATCACTGTTATGATGAACATTTAAGGGATCCAGCCGAACATGTCGCTGTATCCTACTGACGCGTTTGCTGCTGCAAATTAATGGAAACAAAGCTTAATTAAAAGCTATACTGTATATTCCTATCTTATTATTTTAGATTTGCTATCGTTCGATGTACGATGTCTATGACTAAATTTCCTAAATAGGTGTATGACATTACGGAATTAAATTAACATATCATCATATGTTTTGAACGCAGCAATTTTTTCGCCCTTTAAATATTTCTTGCGGTTCTATTTCATTGTTGAGGAATAAAACAGTGCACTATTGTAGGCAGCGCACGCTATGCAATGAATCTGTATGAACATTTTTTAACTTCAGCTCAATTGCTACTCAAATGAGACCGAGCTTTATGGGCGTTCTACTCCATGTGGTAAGTTAGGTATATTTATTTACTAGACGTTGGAAAGTGTTATTTAGTCATGACTGCCATGATTAAATTACCCTATCCACCTTGATATTTAGTTTCAGAACGAATGCAAATCACTCAGTTTTGAAATTAAAAGTGGCGCGGGGTGGAAAAAGTATTGTCTTCTTCACCTGCATCTACGAAAACTCGAGGGCCTACGACCATGTGTCCTACCAATATATTTGGCCAGGTAAGTGTAAATTTAAATTTTGAACCAAATAAAAATTGCACGTGTCCAGTTAAGTCATATTATTTTTACGTTGTCTTTCTATGTTGGTGAATAAATTGACCGGGGCTCATTTCAAGGTCTGGATAAATTTGAGGGTGCGGAAAAATGTCTACAAATCAATTCAAATATGGTGAAACTGCAATGGACTGTGAATAATTGGAGCCCACTTATCTATCGCGCAAGTTCAAGGTTTTCCCTGTGAACAAATAAACGATTTTATTATAAGCACACGAAGGCATATTTAATTATCATTTAAAGCACTTAACACGGCATATCTGCAGGCCCAGGAATGCATGTAGGTCAGTGATTCTAGCAAAGTACTCATGGCAGCATCCGACAGGAGGAGAAGAAAAAATGCGACTACAGGAGCAAGAGTTTTATTTTCCTGACGTTTCGGATTCCATCGGGAATCCCTAATCATAGGTAATAATAGAATAATCGGAGCCATGCGCAAATAAGTTTGAAATATTCACAGATTTTACGCTATTTATAGTTCGTGGCGGTCGTCCACTTGCATACTATAAATATCCGTCCATCTCCTGTAGTCACCGAGTGGGGTCTTAATTGGTGCGGTGATGTCTTGACACTCCGCATTTGACTTGTTAATTACCAAAATTTCCTTATCCGTGTTGGATGCGGGCTTGGTAATTGCGCGAAAATTATGCTCGCTGTCGTCTGAGTTGTTGCTGGGCCCGGCTCTTCCCACTAGACTGATTCTCTTGCTCAGGCAATTTATCAGTACGCAGTAGCCAAACGCAAAGTCGTTGCGCTTGTTGATGAATTGGGGGCCAGTAAACCATGACTCTAGCAGCTCGCGGCTCATGCGATTGTCACCTCTTGCGAGGATTTCGACCTCGGTAAACTTGAAAATATGGCCGGGTCCCTTCGAGTGAGCTACAACCACAGAGTTGGAATTTTTCTTCCGGTAAACGACTCCAGCCATCTTCTGCCGTGGCAGTGGGTATTTTAGTCTCATGACCAAGCGCCTGAGGGTTGCTTCTGGCCTGTGCGCAAATCCAACTTCAAGTGTGAAGAGCAGACGTCTGGCCGCTTCCCATACATTCTATACGTACGGAGGTGCTCGCCAAACGTTTGGGCCAGGTGGATGTAGTTTGATCTTTCGTCTGCGTATGCATTGGCTGACAAAATTGCGCGGGTAAACATCTGCTCTCAGTATATGTCGAGGATATTCTAATTCAGCAACTTTTTCTTCCATTTCGCTGCAATGCGTCTCAACGCGCCGGTATAGTGCTCTTAAGCAGCTGCGTTTGTGACCAATCGGGTGGTTACTGTTGACGTTCAGAGCTTGCATAGTGTTGGTTGCTTTCCTGAACACTAGTTTTTAGGCCATTACCGGCTTTGCTGCAAACGAGGACATCCAAGAAGGCCAGCTGGTTGTTCGTCCATCATACATTTCATGCCCGGGATTACGGCGTCTGGACGTTCCTTGAATGTCTACACCTGATCCCGCTCAATTACGACGAAGTTGTTGCCCACATACCGAGCCCAGTATTTGGGTTTGTGGTGTCGGAAACCAGCGTGTCCAACCGTTGCAGGACTGCCTCTGCTATGCGTCAGGAAATGGGTGAACCTATGGGCGCGCCCCTTAATGGCTCGTAGATTGTTCAGTTAAAGGAAAAGCACGACTCGATACAGTACTTTTGGAGCTGAATGATTTGGGCGTGATTTGGGCGTGCCCGATACGATCCTCCGTTTCATTATGTTTCCCTCGTAGGAGTAATTGGATCGTCTCGACTGCCAGGTGTGGAATAAGAGTAAAATGGACGTGGCATCAAAGGAAAACATGATATCGTTTGGCAGGAGGGTTACACCTCTACGTTACTCCAAGAATTGTGTTGACGAACTGACTGTTGTGTCTGAATCAGCGGTCAAGAATCTGAGCTGTAGAAAACTCTACTTTGTCAGTCCGTAGGTTGGAAGTCCTTTACCAGATACGATTGGCCGTAGGGGTGCGCCTTCTTTGTGCACATTGGGAAGACCATAGAAGCAGACCAGGGCCGTTTCTTGCGCTCTGGCCATGCGTCAGTTGATTGGCGATACTGCATCTGAGTTCTACATTGCAAACAGCGTTGTGTTAGTCTCGCCTGTCAGCGTTTTTATTGAGTTGGTTTTAAATGAGACGTAGGACTGTCGATCGTCTAACAGAGTTTGAGCTTTGTGAATGCAGTTTGTCCTGTCCAATACAAAACGTGGACCGCCCCTTGCATTTGTTCTTCTGTTAGCTCTTTCGATGACAAGTTTTGCACCTGTTTGTCATCCCTGAATGACGTTGGATGAGGTAGCTTGCGACATTTACCTGCAAGTGCTGCTTCTCGTTTAGCTTTGTGATTACAGGCTCGTTCGGCCACACTCA